TCTAACATTGTAAAAAAAAAAAAGAGAATACCTGGTCTTCTGTTGTTGAGTTCCTTCTCAGTCTTTCTTTTCTGGTTCCTCTGCTGCAAGGAATCAAGTTTATCGTGTTCTTCTCTTGATCTCTTCTTGTTCAGCGTTCCATTCATCTCTCTGCTCATCTTATTCCTCCGCTTTGTGCATCCCCACTGAATTTGGAGCTTCTGTGCACCAGACTTAACCGTCAATTCCAATTCCAACAAAGAGGAAACCAAAGCAAGTAAAAGACCATAAGACCAGTCAAGGTTCTAATGAATATAAGAAAATGAAATCATGCATTCAATTACAATGTTAGGTTCCAGAAGGTTAGATTTTAATAATAAAGTGACAATAGTTAGATGATGAAAACCTGTCAATGTTGGTGATGATTAGAGTAAAATACAATAAATTTTTTTAGCTCTCTGATATCTCTTTAGATAGAAAATTGAACACTATTTGTAGCTTTTTGAGAGTTTTAATTTAGTAAATTTAGTTAAAATTTAAAACACTTCATCGAATGATTCATATTGACTCTTTAATCACAAATCATTTATTCAAAATTTGAGTGTTTTAATGTTGTCAAAATCAAATGATCTTTGGCTCGTTTGATTTATCTAGTCAATCCGCTTGATTTGTCTTTAAGCACATCATATTCAGATATCGTTTGATTTTCCAACTAACATCTCGAAGCTTCCAAGTATGTTTTATTATTACCTGATTTGAGTTCATTTAGAGTCAAATAAGATCATTTGTTATATCGATTGGTTTTTCTTTTCTCGGTATTCACTTTGATTATAAATATGCTAAACTCAGAATAGTTTTAAATTTAATTTTGAAAATTTACAATTTAATCCGGCTTTAAGATTCTTGTAGATCAATTAACATTTAACAAATATTATCCTCAAAATCATGCAAATAAATTGAATGTTCTCAAAAACGTACGAGGGAGAATATTCCTCGTCTAAAAATACAAATCAAGACAATCCAATCTTTTATATCTTCACAAAACAAGCCATGCAAGATATCAATTAACGAGCATTGATGAAAATTCTCTCCCACAAACCAATTTCAGATCAATGAAGGGCTACAAATCATAAAAAAAAAAAGACAACATAAAATTTAATCACACTTCATTATTACATTAAAGTAACATTATTATTATTACTATTATTATTTTGGGAACGGGGGTATCTACCCCCCCCCCCCCCCCCCGGGGCCTAGAAGGCACTTGGCGGCGTAACTAATTCATCGGCGAGGCTACTAGCAACCAGCCCAATAGATGCAGGACCCGTAGTTATTTTCTCCCTACTTAAAGGGTCACGCTGCATGAGAGGGGATTCGAATAAGGGTTAACAGTATTACAACGTAGCATGATCGAAAATAATAAGATCAATGGCAGTAAGAGACGAGGAAAATTATTTCGTGCTCCGTCCGGATTCGTTCGGAAGCGATATGGACGTGCCTCGTCACCACGTGGCGTATCCGGATTTGCCCCCGGATGATCCGGACACTGCATGTAATAATCTCTCCAGAGACGGCCCTGCACGAATGAAATAAACCAATCATAGCGTCATTGCATGTTGATGAACAAACCTTGACTGATCCGATCATGGAGTCTTCTTCCCACTTGTAGTTCGAACGATAATATGGAAGACACCGCGCCATGGCTCTCACAAATCCTTCTTCGGTGATGATATGACCAAAACAATAAAATGCAGTAGTGGTATCTCCTAAACAGAATGGAAGCTAGCTCTGGAAAAGAAGCAAGTGAAAGTAGATACTTTGTTGAGCATGAAATATGGCTGGCTATATATGAAGCCTGGGGCTACAATTTTGGCCACCTAAGCCTGTAGAAAAGACAAATGGCGAGCTAAGCTAAGATCTGGGGGTAGTTTTAGGGAACTGGTTTAGGAATGTGGGATGGATAACATGTAACAGTGTAGACTTTTTCAACGTTAGATTTAGATATCACATTTTTAGCATATTTTACTAGTAAACTGCGATTTTTTTGTTTAAATTGAGGGAAAATCTCCTTCATTTTCTATGGAGAATAGTTATATAACAATACTCAAAAGAATTGTCCAAAATGAAAAAAAAAAAAAGTGTAATAGAAAAACGACAAAAATTTGACTCAGGCTTGTTTGAATGAGCATTTTTAGTTGCTTTCTTTAAATCAATTTTTAATACATAATTTTAATTTTTGTATTTAAAAATTGCTTTAAAAAATAATTAAAAAAGCTTCTACGAAATCTCGAATATGCAAAAAATTATCCTATACATGAAAATGATGGAAAGCCACACATTCTGCTTAGGGATACCTTGATTATTTCTATCTCTTCGTTGTGATCTAGTCTTTGGTGCTAAATGTAGCAACATGTACTGTCGTATTTATGATTTACGATGAGGTCTTAGTTGCTGCATTCTTTTGCTGCAACGGATGATTGTCTTAAATCTTTATTACTCTTTTCTTGCAGTTCGCAACCCAGCCGATCTTCGCAAGAATTTATGAGAATTCTATTACGACGGCAGATTTGCTTTACTATTAGTTCTTTTTTTGGATGTATTTGCCTGTTATAGCTACTAAATTGCAGGACCCTGCCATGTTCAATGACCATTCAGGAAGGCAGTTCCATTCATAATATTGATAAATTGCAATAATTATTTAAATAAGCTCTCTTTTTTTTTTCTATTTTTACTTGCTTAAATTGGGTATAAGAAAATTTTTGTTAAAAAGGCTTAGGGATGGAATAAGCCTATGTTAATCTGTCAGTCAAATTGGACTTTCTTTTTCTATTTCTCCCTTTATATATAATGATATAATTTGTAAAAATTAACATTAATCAAAATATGTTGAATTTCTAGATTTCTTAATAAAAAAATTATTTTAAATTTAATTCAAATATATTAAAACTTTTTTCAAAAGTCACATCCAAAATTCTTTTTTTTTTTTTTGTGATGAGGAACCCCTTCACTTCGCGGTGAGTAAACCCTGGTCAACCTAGCAGACAGCCCACACCATTACTCATACCAACACTTAATGGTTGCAGTGCCGTCCAAGAGATTGAGCTCGGGACCTGAAGCTTTACCCAGCCGATTCCCCCCACCTGAGCTAAGCCGGCAGTGGTGACACATTTCAAAATCTTACAACTTTGAATTCATATGACCCCTAAACATTCAATTTAGCCACAATCAAGAATGATTTGACTTAATCAAACAAGTTATGTTAGCCAGTTGAATGAATAATTGACGATCATGACATTTTCCTTTCCTGTATAGTGTCAAATGTTAATCGTTCTCAAGTTTTGCAGTGTAGAAGTATAAGTAATAACGAACTTCAAGGCACTGAAGCTGAGGGTAGACAAAGAAATTATTATGTGCGGCTATTGTATTGTTTGGAGTGAATCAGAATGCGTCATGTCACCCGGACATAGTGTACATAGAATCGATAACATACAAAAATGGATGATATGGGTGCGTCTTAATTCGCCTACTGAACAGACTTGATATCACAATAAAATAATTTCTCCAATAGAAAAGGATAGCAACAGCAACAAGTAAAAATTTGTTTTATACCCTATAAGGTTGCATAATAGCATGTTATTTCGAACTATAGATAATTTGTTTTTCTATTTCAAACCCTTCTTTTTTCTCTTATAATCTTTTATAATAATTAGAATTGTACACATGTGTGTGTAGAGGTTTGATTTGGAGTTTGATGTAAGCTATGGTAATAATTTGTCCTGACAACATATTAGGTAGGAGAGAGAAAATACAAATTATTTAATTTATTTATTTATTTGTTTTGTTTGCGCGATTGGAGAGGAGGAACTACTTTTTTTTTTTTGTTAATGCTTTAAGTGTAAATACATTTTTTTTAGTAAATAATTTAGATTGAAATTTTTTTTTATGAGTTATTATGTGTCAAAATATTTTGAGATTTAATTTGTTATAATCCATTAAAAATACATTTTTTTAATATTTATATTTGTACTATATTAATATAGTTAATTAATCAAAAAAATAATTTTGAGTATTATATTACTTTGTGCATTTTTAGTAAATTTTAATAAAAATGACTAAATTAAAAAAAATTCTGAATTAGATTTATAAATATTAAGTTAGTTCAGTATAAAATTATCTATAAATAATATATTATTATTTTTTTAATTTATCTGTGTTAAAGAAAGTAACATTTTAAGTAAACATAGTAAGAATTTAAAATTAATTAATTCATAAAATAACTGATTCATATTTTAGTAGTGTTAATAACAATTTGCACAAAATTGATTGCCAACCGAAGTTTAGCAATTATTAATATCCACATTTCGAGAAAATAATTATTTATTTTTTATAAATTATTTTATAATATTCATTATAAAAAAATTACTTTCTAACGATTATCTCATAATAAATTTTACAAAATGTTGAAGCCATCCTAAAGCTCCTATCTGTACAACTACAACAAAATAAGAAGGAGAAATAAAAAATTATAATAAATGAAGAAATTTGAGAGATTATAAAAATACAGAACTCCGAAACACAGCGTCTACATCCGGATACCAATCAGAATCAGCCACGTCAGTCATACTGAGCTGCATTATTGAGCGGTACAAACGCTCAGTCCCCGCAGTATCGAGCAGTACCAAGCCACGGGCTTAGGCAACAGGACGGGTTCCGCTTCGGCGTAGAATAATTTTTATAAAGGGGCATTCTGTCCAGATGCCTAAGCCCGCGGCTAGGTAGAATTGTCACAGAAACTGACTTCCTTGGAGCAAACATCCAGTCCAGCTCATCTTCATCAGCCTCAATCGGCTGAATCGATGGAGGCTTCCAGTTTTTTATTAAATCGTTGAACAATTGCCTCTCTTATCTTTGTGCACTGTTTCTAACCTTTGCCATTTTTGTGATTAGATTCACCGGGATTAGCCTCAACAAAGCCTTCTTCATGAATGGGCAACTTGGCGACAGGAACAGAGAAGCAAGGCTCAGCACTTGCCAGCAGTTGCTTTTCTGAAGGAACCTTCTTTGTTCTCATACCTGACTTTCATTTTTGGGTAACTTAGTGGTTTGAGAACAGCATCGGTATGCTGTCGGCCAAAGACATACTTTCCAGTATCCTGGCTGATTTCCTCAAAATACTTCCCGATCAATTTCTTTTCCTGTATGAACTTCACATTTGCCAGGATTGCCGAAGACAACTCAATTGCCTGATTGAAACCATTTTCTCCACCATATGAGACATCAACCACGTTGATTATTTTAGCCTGTAGACGTGGATCAAACATATCAGACTGGCTCACTTCATTTTTAAAATCAGCAGACCCAGCCAAGATCAACCCGGCAACATTTGGCTGACTTGTAGCAGGATTAATGAAGAACTGGGTAGCAACTTCAGCTGTCTTCCTGACATAATTATGGCGCTTCTCCATCCGAAGACGAGCAAACCGCAATGCAGACTGTCCTCCTCTTCCATGCTTCTTTGGAAGATCAACAGTGAATTTATGAAGCTTCCAATGCCTTGATAAGTTTCTTGATCTTCCATATCTTAATGTTCCTATCATTCTCATGAGCATCAGCATTAACCTGTTTAGTGCAGATCTGACGTTGCAGATTCTGTTAATTTGGATGTCTTGGTGACTTGAGAAGAACTGCGGGGTGCAGATTCAGCTAAGTATGCTTGAACTTTAGCTTTCTTGGTCACAGAAGAAGAACAGCAGGGATCTGTGCTTACAGATGCTTGCTCGTGAACCTTGAGTTCCTTCGAAGGCAACTTGATTCGGATGACCATACCTTTTCACAGCAGGTTTAAAGCTCATCAATATCTTGTCTTGCTTCTAACATCGTGAAAAAAAGAGAATACCTGGTCTTCTGTTGTTGAATTCCTTCTCAGTCTTTCTTTTCTGGTTCCTGTGCTGCAAGGAATCAAGTTTATCGTTTTGTTCTCTGGATCTCTTCTTGTTCAGCGTTCCATTGATCTCCTTGCTCATCTTGTTCCTCCGCTTTGTACATCCCCACTGAATTTGGAGCTTCTGAGCACCAGAATTAACCGTCAATTCCAATTCCAACAAAGGGGAAACCAAAGCAAGTAAAAGACCATAAGACCAGTCAAGGTTCTAATGAATATAAGAAAAATGAAATCATGCATTCGATTACGATTTTAGGTTCAAGAAGGTTAGATTTTAATAATAAAGTCACAATAGTTAGATGATGAAAACCTGTCAATGTTGGTGATGATTAGAGGAAAATACAATAAATTTTTTTAGCTCTTCAGATATAAAATGGAGCACTATTTGTAACTTTTTGAGAGTTATAATATAGTAAATTTGGTTAAATTTTAAAATGCTTCATCGAATGATTCATATTGACTCTTTAATCATAAATTGTTTATTCAAAATTTGAGTGTTTTAATGTTGTCAAAATCAAATGATCTTTGGCTTGTTTGATTTATTTAGTCGATCCGTTTGATTTGTCTATAAGCACATCATATTTAGAGATACTTTGATTTTTCAACTAACATCTCGAAGCTTCTAAATATGTTTTATCACCTGATTTGAGTTCATTTAGAGTCAGAACAGATCAGCTGTTAAGATATTCAGTTTGAATATAAATGTGCTAAAATTAGAATTTGAATAGTTTTAAATTTAATTTTGAAAATTTACAATTGAACAAATATTGTCCTCAAATTCAAGCAAATCAATTGAATGTTCTCAAAAACGTATGAGGGAGATATTCCTTGCCCAAACATACAAAACAAGACAATCCAATCATTTATATCTTCACAAAACAAGCCATGCAAGACATCAATTAACGAGCATTCATGAAAATTCTCTCCAACAATTTCAAAATTTAAATCATTTAAGGGCAACAAATCATATAAAAGTCAAAAAAAAAAAAGAAAAAAAAAAAAAAAGGATCGCAGCATGAAATTTAAACACACTTTGTTATTACAGTGAAGTAGCATTATTATAACTTAGCAGGATCGAAAATAATCAGATCAATGGCAGTTAAAAGGAAAAATTATTATGTGCGGAAGTCGAATATCGTCCGGAGACTAACTAGAATGCGTCACGTCACCTCTGTGCACGGTATCACTTGGTACCGCTGACATGACGCATTCTGATTGGTCTCCGGACGACGTTCTGAATCCGGTCTCAGCACAAAATAATTTTTTCAAGACGGCCCTGCACGAATGAAATAAGCCAATCATAGCGTCATTGATGATGAACAAACCTTGACTGATCCGATCATGGAGTCATCTTCCCACATATAGTTCGAACGATAATACGGAAGACACCGCGCCATGGCTCTCACAAATCCTTCTCCGGTGATGCTATGACCAAAACAATAAAATGCAGTAGTGGTATCGCCTTACCAAAAAGGGAGCTCTGAAAAAGAAGCAAGTGAAATTAGAGACTTTGTTGAGCTTGAAATATGGCTGGTTATGAAGCCTGGGGCTACAATTTTGGCCACCTAAGCCTGTAGAAAAGTCAAATGGCAAGTTAAGCTAAGATCTGGTGCTAGTTTTAGGGGAGCTGGTTCAGGAATTTAGGATGGATTACATGTAACAGCGTAGCCTTTTTCAACGTTAGATTTAGATATCACATTTTTAGCATATTTTACTGGTAAACTGCGATTTTTTTTTTTTGTTTGGTAAATTGAGGGAAAATCTCCTTCATTTACTATGGAGAATAGTTATAACAATACCCAAAATAAAGGCCAAAAGATTCAGATGTGCCAAAAAATTTATCGAATAGTTAAAACAAAAAAAAAAAAAAAAGAAAAAAAAAAAAAAAAAAAAAATAGAAACACAAAAATTTAGACTCAGAAGGTGCAAAAAAAAAAAAAAACTATCCTAAATAATTTGCTTAAAATCCACAATTTTATTTAATTTGATAGCTCTTTTATTTTTCAATAAATAAAACACTCTCATTATTTCTCAAGAAAGAAATGGCGGTTCATCAAGACGAGAACACTATTAGTGTTACTGTTATTGATTTATTATACTAATACTAAGCATGTGATATAGTGTGCATATGTTTAAGATATTAATTTGATATTGATATAGAATAATCGAATATCATGTGTACATCATTATAAGATTTCACTACATTAATATGATTCATATAGTCTTTATTGATGGTTTGATTTCACTTTATATGATCTATTTAGTGTTTATTGATTGATAGTACTGATATCACGACAGTTTTATAATTTTAACACATGTATTGGCTTTATAGTTTTAACACGTGCTGTTTTACTTGTTCTCATATTATATTAATTTATTGTTTATCGACTATACTGCTACTGTATGTGAGTTTTATTATTTCTACTCTGATTAATAATCATCTAAATATTAGTGTTATGATTTGACTACTGACATGCATATATATTGCTCATTTACTATTTACTGTACTTTGAAATTGAGTTTTATGATTTGGATGATATGTTGGACTTTTTAGCTCGTTATATATGATCTAAATGATTTCTAGTTAAAGCAGAGGATCAATAGTATGAGATTGAACAAGATCTTATAGGTTTACTGCTATTTTGTTTCTTTTTATTTTATAATTATTCTTTTATACTCATGACTGAAAAGTTATATCACAATTATAATTCATGATTGTAGTTTTCAATAAATTTTTTCACAATCCAATTTTTAGATTCATAAAATGCAAACCTAATCAAAGATGGACAACATGTTTTGGTTTCAAATTTTCTACTTTTCTTTTGGGAATTCAAATCAATTCTCTTCTTGAAATCATCAACTTTTGAACAGACAAAGTCTTTGAATTTTATCTTTCTAGAATTTGACCAGTAACTATGATGGTCCTTGCACACACTAAAACCACTATTATGAGCATAAGTGCAAGCATCAAAAGCTTTTTTTTTTCATTTTTAAAAACAACCTGAAGAAGAAAAAGATAGTCAAAAGCATAGTAAAAGTGCAGTGAAAGCACAATAAAGGCACAATGAAGCAAAAGTGCAGCAAAGCAATGTTAGTTAAACACAAGTTAAAGAACAACCAAAATCAATAATATCACATTAAAAGCAAAGCAAAAGTTCTCTTTAAAAGGTACATTTAATACATTAAAGTGCAACAAGAACACAAAAAAAATCTGTACATCGTTTGAAACATTTTGATCTAAAACCTTATGATAAGGTAGAAATTTATCGATAACTTGAAACCTGCAGTTGATCCAGCCGAAATACCTTCTTATTTCGGCAAGTTTTCATACCTGTGTTCAATATTCGTGTCCTGTGAGCATTCCATCTCCGCGAAAAAAGCAAGTTCTTATTTTTCCTTTATGAGCAGCTAGTTGAGATCCTAAATATTTCGATTTAAGACCTTTTTGGGTTCTTTGAGGTGCCAATTCTAAATCTAGGCTTTTAAAAGGCAAAATTTTAGGGTCAGTCTGGTCGGGCGTGTTGACAAGACATAAAATAAAGTTATTTATGTAAAAAAAGATTCCACGTGTATCATTTTTATTGGCGTCCGGATTTAACCTTACGACCGGTCCCCGCACCAAATAATTTGCCTCTGCTTTGAGGCTCTTGTCTTCATCTACAAAGAGGCTTAAGCCTTTTTGTCTGAAGTTAAGGTTTCATTTGACATATTTTTTTATTGGTTCTCAAAGCATAATTTTAGTACAAAAAATTTAATTTATGTACTAAAAAGTTTATATAATAAGTAATAAAAAAGTCATTCAAACAAAGCCTAAGCATAAGGCTTCATTTGAGAAAACTTTCTTGTTATTTTTTAAAGCAGTTTCTTAGTATAAAAATCTTTAGTTTAAAAAAAACTTCGTATCAAAATGTTATTTAAAAAAGTAGAAAGAAAGCTGTTCTAAACAAAGCCTAAATGAGGTAGGATCTTCATTTTAAAGCTATAATTTTCTTAATTTAATGATTATTTAAGCAAAAATGCTCTAATTTTCTTCTTTAGTTGAATAGAGGGTTTATGCTAACTTGAGAGGAACGGAGATTATCCTCGATGAGGCATGCAGAGATGAGGGTACCTCTAAAAATTGCCAAAAAATTTTATCTAAAACCTTGATTTTTTTTTTTAAAGCTTTTGAGCAATTTTGGATAATCTTTAATAAATTTTCCTTCTTTATTTTGATCTTGTTGGCAAGATTTTTTCCTATATGACTATTCACACATGTTTTCTTCTCCCAAAAAAAATTTGACAGTTGTTTTGTCATTTTGAATTTTAGAAGAATTTTAATTTCCAAATGTCCTAATCATAAAATTATGATATTTTTAAATCTGATTCATATTTTGTTGAAAATAGCATTCCAAAAACTCTTAAAGTTTTTAATATATTGATGACATCATAGGCTATCTTTGTGATTTTTTTCAGACGAAAATTTTGTTATTTAGGCTTCGTTTGGGACGGTTTTCTTTATGCTTCTTAAAACAGCTTTCTAGTACAAAATTTTAAAATTTTGTACTAGAAAATTTAAAATTTTTTAACTAGAAAGCCGCTTTAAAAAACAGTAAGACAGCCGTCCCAAACGAAACCTTAATAGGGTAAAAATTTTAAGCACTGTGATTTAATCGTATATATTTATTTGCTGAT